ATATATATATATATATATATATATATACTAATTATTACCGGTCCAAACAGAGATGAACTATTGAATCTTTAACAACTACCTTCACCAATTCAATAACTAGTCCGTATTTTCTATTGTTGAATATCTTTGACGCAAACCAAAAAGAAAAAGATAAGTTGTAATTTGCAGGCAATAGCTTTTACCACGCATAATTTATTAGTCGATCTAAAGGTTGAAGAACTAAATAGAATGTCCATTAACATAACAAAAACTAAACATGGGGTGAGTTAAAAATAAAATCTCTTTAGTCCAGTGGTTATCAAGCAAGTTTACAGCTAATCTAACAAAACAACTACTGCTAAATATTGAAATCAATGTCCCAATGTTGGCATTAGGGGAGAGCAGATTCACCATTTGAACCATGACTAAGCCCATGGAAGAGGAAATATGAGTTCGTGCATGTTACTGTTAAACAAGACAACAACGGTTAAATTCTCACGTAATGTACTCTAACGGAAAATTCAAATAAAAATGCACCCACCAACTATATATATAATACAGGGTATAAGCATCTAGAATATCATTTGCACAAGTGCATTAGAAGCTTCAGGTGTTCCATACTGCAACCAGTCCTTAGCACATACAAGGGCCTCCACAGTTTCTGGCCGCAAGGAACTCCGATACCGATCCATCTCTTTGCTTTTTGAATAAAACACAGAGTCAGGAGCAACAGTAGAAACCGGAACAGATAATATATCCCTAGCCATCTTGGAAAGTGTAGGGTACTTGAGTTTGTTTAGCTTCCACCAACCTAAGACATCAAAGTCTGGCACACGTGGTAACAGCGATTCCTCAAGATACTGATCTAACTCAGACCTCATATGTTGGCTAGTAGTTTCCTTGATGTAGGCATCAAAATCTGTAAGACCATTATCTGTCAACACTGGTGATTCCTCCATCTTACTGTGGCTTCCAGCACCTCCATCTTCAGCATAGGCCGGCGTTAGTGGCAGCGGAAGGGCCACGTACTCATGAAACAGCTCATGAATTCCATCATCCACAGTCTTTATATGCACATGAGCATCCTCGCCGTAAATTTTTGTGAAACTGAACTCCACAAGCTTCATCTTGAAACGAGGGTCCATCACTACTGCAAGCGCCAATACCAGACTACACTCTCTCCAATACTTATCAATCTTTTCATGCATAATTTTATTAAGCCTGCTAATGAAGGGGTCTTCACTCGTAACTGCACGAGTTGCATCTAACTGCAATTTCCAAACTTCATGAAAGAAGGTAATAGCAGTGGGATGAGTTGTTGTAGTAAGAATGTTTGCTGCATCAAAAAGTGGCTTCAAGTAGCTACACAAGATCTCAACCCGCTTCCAATCCTGCATAGATGGGGCTCCCTTGTAATCAGGATCAGAAGTGTCCAAACAAGAAAAAACTTCCTTCATCTCAGAAGCTGCCACAAGCATTTGATACGATGTATTCCATTGGATTTCATCATCAATAAAAAGGCTCCTTTCACAAGGAACCTGAAGATGCTGCTTCAGCTCCAAGAATTTTTCCTCATGTGATTCTGAAGTCTTCACATATTTTACACTATCACGGATTTTTTTGATCAAGTCTTCTGCAGAACCCAACAACTCCTTAGCAACACTGCTTAAAGTACGGGCAATGCAATTACCAACTAGCAACTGACCATTGAGAATAAGTGGATTCTTCACAGAGAGTAAAGGTCTGAGATTTTCAAGGGCAACATTACTCAGTGCTTGATTACAAGTGACAGAAAAAAGCCTACCCTCCAACCCCCAATCAGAAAGGCAAACAGCTACAGCATGGGTGAGTGCAGAATCTGAATCAGGGTATGGTTCCATTACAACATTGAGGATTCGCCTCTGCAACTTCCAATCATGATCAACAAAATGTCCTGTAATAAATACATAACCTAAAGATTGACTTGACGTCCAGATGTCCAGTGTCAAACAAACACGTCCAGGTAATCCCTCAATATACTTTACAATGTGTTGCTTTTCCATCAGGTAAGTCGCAACACAATCTCCTTGGATAGAGTTAAAGGTCACCATTTTGAACTGAGGCTGCAGATTTTGTACAAATGCCACAAATCCCGGATGCTCAACCATGTGAAGGGGGTAATCATGCATAATGATCATCCTGGCAATATCATGACGGCATTGGTCTTGATCAAAAATGATGTAAGGAGTACTCGGGGATCTATATCGTCTTTTAGGTGTATCACTAGCATTCCCAGCCCCACTTCCCCTAGTTCGTGCAGTATATGGGGTCAATTGATTAGGGTCATTGTTGCGAAGAAGAGCTGAGCAGGTCCCCTTGGCTATGTGGCGTTTGAGATGGCTGGTGCCAGCAACTTTAGAACCTGTACTATAGGCAAAAGTTTGAGCGCATTGCTTGCAGCAAGCCCTTCTACACCCAGGACTAACTGTTTCTATTGTAAAGTGTTCCCAGACTATAGACTTCTTTTTCCTCCGCTTAGTAGGCTGTGTTTCTGGAATACGATCCTCATAGCCCAGTGGTGTCTCGGCATTTATTATCTCGTAGCTGGGTATGGCATTAGAAACAGTCATTTCATAGTTTGCTTGAGAATTAACCATCTGATTGTGGTGCATCGTTTCACTATTTTCGAGCTCATAATGAGGCAACATTTGGGGATTAACCAGCTGATCATGGGACAATGCTTCAGAGTTAGATAGCTGATTGAGTGATAATGCCTCAGACTGGTCTGCATGGTTGTTGGGCAGCGTATCATAATGGGTCAGATGAGTATGATATATTGCTTTGATGTCTGTGAGATGAGTATCTGCCTGTGGTTCAGAATCGGGCAGTGGTTCTGAATGAGGCAGTGATTCAGGTTGTGGCAGCTGATCTTCAGGAATCATATGGAGATTTGTGAAGTGATTATCAGGACCAGTTTCAGAATGGGAGAGCTGATTGTTGGGATCTGTTATGGAATTGGCCAACTCATTTTCAGGCAGAGGTTCTGACATGACCACATCATTGCACGTCTGAGTATCTGACAGTGGTACAGAATTGGTTAGCGGTTCTGAATGAGACAGTGATTCAGGTTGAGGCAGCTGATCTTCAGGAATCATATGGACATCATCTGTGAACTGATTATCAGGACCAATTTCAGAATGGGAGAGACGATTGTTAGAGTCTGTTATAGGATTGGCCAACTCATTTTCAGGCTGAGGTTCTGACATCACCACATTGCTTTGCTGAGTTTCAGACATGATACCCTCATTGCCTTGCACAGTATCAGACATAACCACCTCATCACCGTGCTGTGTTTCAGGTACAACCACACCATTACTAGTCTGTGTTTCAGAATTACACATGGCATGGCTAGGCAATAACTCAATATTCTTATCAAGAGGTGCTTCAGATCTAACAAACTGACTGTCAGATAAAGCTTCAGAGTTGGCTGACTGATTGGTGTGTGGTGCCTCAGAATTAACTATCTGACTTATCTGCGAGGCCTCAGCATTGCCTGGCTGGTTGCTGGTTAGTGATTCACAAATCTCTGGATTGTCAATTGCAGGTTCTTCAGAGGTGACCAAATGTTGGTTGGTTAATGTTACTGCTTCACCATTAGTAGCCAGTGTTTCAGAAGCCGCAAGTTCCTTGTTCTGCTGTCTTTCCCAATTGGACAGATCTTTGTTAGGCTCAGACTCGGACTTTTCCACACTACTGTCTGGCAGTGTTTCAGACTCTGCAAGATCATTGCTAGGTAGAGCATCAGTATCAACTCGATCATTTTCCATATCAGGAGTCACTGCCACTTTGTCTTCTTCAAGGTTATCAACCATCCTGCCTCACCTGGAATAAAAAGATAGTAACAGTGAATTACAATCAAGAAACATTTTGCAGAGATAGATATATTAAAGATAAAGTACTATACTATGAAGCCCAAATACTTTGCACAACTCAGGTACAGGGATAGAACAAATTTTTGAACGTTAAGATATGATATGTTCTAGATAAGTTTACTAAAAATTTATAGAAAAAATTATATAGATGGAGATTATGGGTAAAGAAAGAGACATTAGTCATTCTCATCAATTCATAACTATGATGATCACAATTCACAAAATGATACTTGTGATCATAACCAAAAAAAAGGGTAGAATACAATTTCTGCTCATATCACAACCAAATTTAGTTAACAATTTCAATAAAAAAGCATCATTGTAAATATGGGATTTATACAATAGCCTAGGACTCGAGCATTATTACTAAATTATTATCTGATGCTAAATGTAACACTCTCCTTCCCTCCCCCTCCCCCTCCTTACCATAGAAAAAGAATAGCTTCTAAGTCTGGTTTTTCAGGAGACAACAGTGTCAATTTAAGAAGTCTATCACTTTTATCAAGTGGATGATTTATATCTCTACTAATGACCCACAACATTGTCACTCCTTTACCCTTCATCATAGACAGAAGTCGAAGGTACATCATAAACATAAACCAAATATTCTACCCCTTTTAATCTATTTTGTTTTTATTCAAAGAATTAACAAAGGAGAATTACGCCAATTCCTCTCAAAGCATGAGGAAGAATATGGCTGCACAAGAGGCTTAAGGCAAACTTTTTTGGATACTTTTCAAATATGTATCCAGAAGTATCCTATAAAAAAAACATCGGATACTTTTCTGATATGTATCCAGAAGTATCCAAGGAGGATCGGTATCTCACATGAGTACGACACCAATATTTTTATATTTTTTTTTTTAAGTATCCGGCTTCATAGGTACTAGAGATCAGAGAAAATACACTTATATGTTAATTGCATCGTGTATGAATGCAAAATACACAAGATTCAGACCAACAAAGAGATTTCAACTATATTAGTCCAGTAATCCTGCCACCGTTCACATATCCAAAGAATAATTGGGCAAACAAATGGGTTGGGTTGACCCCCAAGCTCAGACAAAATAAGAACATCTGCAATACTCTATACTACTCAAACATTACCATTTGTAAACTCACATTTCATTAATAAAACATTACCCAACTAATAAAAGCTGATTTGCTCATCCACTATCCCTCTTTTCTATGTTGTATTATTTTCGGAATACTAAAATCAATAAAACATTTTCCATACAATATAATTACATTTATAATGATATAAATTATAAAAAAAAGGGTGGGAATTGCCTGAGATGTGATTCTCTAATCTCTAGTAACTAATGATATTCAACAATTACTTGAAGCACTACTAACAGAGCCCACACATGGAAAATACTAAGCAGCTCTTTAAAAGTTAGCAGAAAACACAAAAAAAAAAAAAAAATTAAAAAAAATTATATGCCAAAACGTTTCGGGCTGGCGAGCCCAAGTCCAGTGGACTGGAATATCCATGGAAAGGAAAAAAAATTATATTAATAAATCAATCAGTGCTGAGATCGAACAATTTTGAGTGAAAGAGAATGAATAAGGAGGGGAAAGAGATTAACCAGCTGTTACAGTGGATATTTAACGGCGGAGACGAAGATGGACACCTCTGGAAGCGGGCGGAAGCCCGAAAGCGGCCCTCGGGCTTGACGGAGTGAGATCTAGGGTTTTGGCAAAAGAGAGAGAGATTTGGGCTTTGGAACCAACCCGAGAAGGTAATTGGACCTTAGATCTGATTTCTGGTGGTTTGGTTGGGACGAGTAAACTTCTGAAAACATTTAAAATAGGGTTTTACTTTTGGATTTCGTATTTGGACTCCCAGGTCCATTATTGTTGTTTTATTATTTTTATTTTTATTTTTATTTATTTTTAAAAGTAATTGTATTTTAGTTTGAATTTTAGGTTTATGTTTGTCTTCCCATGCCCTAGCCCACCCGGTTATGAATGAGACAGCGGATGTGTTTGTTTTATTTAATTATTATTATATTTTTGGGAATTTAGAAAGAAGGAGTTGAGAGCATGGGTGAAAATAAGCCCATTGGTTGTGTGTGAGGGCCCACTCCATCTAAAGATAGTGTCCATCTTTTCTTGTCACGGGACAACTCTCAGCCCAATCGTACTTCTGAATTTCGTTTCATGCCTTTAGCTTGAATTACAGTTTCTTTCAACAACAAAAAAATTAATTACAAATTTTTTCAATTTTATTTTTTAATTATAAAGTTTGAAGTTGAAATTTTATGTACATTATTAAAATTATTTGTCATTAGGTCAACTCAAGACTTTTATCGGCTCATCTAATGTATAGAATATGATATAAAAGTCAAACAAAATATAAGAGTTGAAAAACTTCGGTTAAGATAAAAGTATGATAAGTTTTTAAGATGCATTTGATGGTCCGTATATTAATATATTAGAATAAGAAAATAAAATAAAAGGTAATTTTTTAAACTTATATAACATTTAATACACATCAAATAATATTATTCAAAACTTATAAGTAGGAACGTTTATCATTGTGGGACAAATCACAAATGTCTTCATTAAATTTTCATATCAAATTTTTCATATACATATTTTAATAAAATATCTTAACTTATCATTTTATAAAAAGTTAAATGTCTCTATTATTCTCTTGATGTTTTATTATGTAAAAAGAAAAAAATTAAAGACAATAAATTAATATTTTGAAGTATTTTTTATAGTATCTCTACTATTAATAAAAAGAATATTTCTTCTTAGTGTATATAAATTTTAAATTAATTTATTTTTATAATAATTTTTAAATAATTTTTTTTTCATTGTCTTTTATTTATTTATTCTCTATTTATCTACTTTAACAACATTTAATTTCTAAATTTCTTATCTTTTAAATAACTATCATTATCTTTTTGTTTCTAAATAGAGACACTTTGTACCTCTTTTCCCCTAATATATTTATATATGTAATATTAATTATAGTTATTAAGTTAGTAAAGGAGTAATGGTTGACCCAACCAAAAGATAAATGGTTAACTTAATTGTTTAATTATTTACATAGATATTTTTGAAGTTTTGAAAATAAAAAAATTATTCAATGTGTTGGAAATATGAGACTTCTTAGAGAATAATTATAATGCATATTTATATTTCAAAAAATATTTTTTTAGAAAATTTAAAAAATAAAAAATGTTAAATTATATATTCAATATTACAAGTTGATATTTAAGTATCGTCTCCACTACTTGAAATTTTTGGATCCGTCACTGCTTACAAGAAAACATTACAACAACTAATTCTATACCACGAAAAACTCCAAATCTAAAATCATAACATAATACCACAAATCTTATAAATAAATGTGCATATATTCTAAAGATGTTTTACGCATAACATATGTATATCTCATATTGTTTGATTAATACCATGTAGTCACATTCTTTTAGATAAAAGCATTTGTCTAGTAGATAACGAGTTATATTTATTATAGAAACTCGTTATCATAATATATTTGTTAAAGGAGTATTAGATATAAGAAAAGTGTTGCATTCTCGTCGCATACTGACTTTGCTTCTTGTTGTTCTCACTTTGTTACTCTACTTTGATAAGTAGCTTAATCTATCAAAGATAAGAGGTACGTTTAAGTAAAAGGCATTAATTGAAGCATTAAATCCATTAATGGATACTTCTTCTCTCTAGATCAGACGAAGGAGTACGACGAAGCAATTCTATGAATTAGACTCAAGAAGCTATAATGGTCATCTCTTTTGAAGCTACTATATAAGAAGCTTTAGAACTCAAGAAAGTAAATGAGATACAGAGAACATATTCAACTCAAGAGAGAACCACATACATAGAAAATCTTCTTCTTTTGTGCTTAAACTTTTGTTGTAGTCACGTTTAAAAGAGACGATAACAACAACTTTGTAATACCTTCATAATCATTGTTATAAGGTAGAGTCTGAAGATGTTTGTCTGCAAAAGAATACTTGGGGTTGAACCTGGAGAGGCTTATTTGTAAAAAGAATACTTAGGTAGTGCCTTGAAGAGGCTAGTCATAGAACACTTGTATTGAGCCAAAAGTGGCTTGGTGAAAAAATACTTGTAACTTTGTTGAAAGTTAATGGATCTCAATCTGGTTGGATTGCGAACTGGATGTAATCTTAGTGGTTGAGATGAATCAATATAAAAACTATTTATGTTCATTGATTACTCTTTTTAATGCTTCGTTTGCCACAAATACTACTTCACTTAGTTGTAAACCTGCAAGTTTTTTATATACACTATTCAACCCCCTTCTAGTGTCTATCTTTTCTCCACGCTTATGTTTGAGCCAGAAGTGGCTTGTTGAAAAAATACTTATATCTTATTTAACATATTGAAACCCAATTTGGTTAGATTAAGAATCGAACACAGTCTCAATGATTAAGATGAACCCATATAAAAATATTGATTGTTTCATTTGTCTCTTCTCCAACACTTTTTATTTAAACCTCCCCCCCCCCACCTCTAGTGTCTATCTTTTTTCACAAATACCAATATTTGAGAAAGAAAGTGTGCTAGGGGATAATTTTTTATGAGTGATGAGTGGGTTATGATAAAGGTGTGAAATTATGATTATAAGACTTTGTACTTGAGACTTTATGCTTATATGTGATATTAGATGATCGTGTGTGATGTGATATGAACTATTGATGTTTGACTTGAGATTGAAGTGTGCAATGTTTGATATGTTGGTGAATGATTATATGTGAGATGCTTATGCATAATGTGCTTGATGAGGTGTGATAAACATTATGAAATGTATGTGTTAATTTGTTTAAGAACCTTATGCGCAATGTTTGAGATGTTTGGCATATTTGAGGTGATGTTGGTGATGCGATTAGGAAATCTAAGAAATGCTTGGTCTTTTGTAGAAGTCCAAACACAAAGGTCTGGCAAAATAATGATGTTGGTGTAGAGAATTTGCATTAATTGTTGTGTTTTATGCTTTGGTGTGAGACCACATGCATAATTTATTTAGAAGTGGTGTGAATCTATGCATAAAGGACTCTATGATCTTCTAATGAGTATAGGAGGTGACCACGACCGACTATAATTCCCTGACTAGATCCTGATAGTTCTTCTCCTAGTTGAGAGTGGATTGAGAAGGTCATCCAATGTGTTGTGATCTGATCCATGTGCTCCTAGACTACCTTGTATTTGGAGCAACTTTGCTAATATTGGAAATTGATATTACAAGCATGTAAAAATAATAGCATAAGTTGCATGAGACATTAATTTGGTTGGTTATGAGATTCATGTGATGGAATCATGCCTAGGAAGGCAAGGGGTGATACATTGAAAGATCCAAGAGGAATGGGCTAGACAGGAAGGTTTGGGTCAGTCAAGGCCCAATGGGCCCGATGGGCTTAGAAGGCCCAAGTTGAGATTCTCATGGGCCATATCTTGTTTTAGCTATTTTCCTTATGTCTTGTATATATCATGTTAGTATAGGTTTTTTATATTTTGGGTCTTGTATTTTGGACCATCTAGGATAGCATTTTAGGTTATAGGCTTATTGGGCCTAGTTTTGGGCTTCATGGGCCTTGGGCTTTTGGTACCCAATATTGGGCTCATTTTCATTCTTGTAATTTTTACTTTCCATTGTATTTGCTTGGCCATTGTATTTAGGCCATTAGATTAGGATTATTGAGGGATTACTTAAATAGGTTCATTAGGCTAAACTAGATTTAATTTAGAAGGCATTTAAGTTGAATTTGGGATCACATGGATGGTGCCACTTGTGGCTGACCATGTGCTTAGCCAAATCAACCCTAAATGCTTCCTAAATCAAATTAAGATGCATGAGGGCACCTAGATTCACGGACTTGCACATGGGAGTGAAGATTTGAATTCAAATTTCAAATTTGAACTCAAATCTTGGCGCCACATGTGGTGTTTGAATCTTGGCACCAAATGCTTCCCTAGCCGAGCCTATATATGCATGATCCTTCATAACTTTTATTCACTTTTGAATGAATGAGAATTCTGAATTTTACTTCAGCCATATTCTCTCCAAGAGTCACCGAAACCTCACCCACTCTAGTTCTAGGAAAACCTCCATTCCTAGACTTGAAAGTGAGCTTTCCTTTGGATCTTTAGCTTGGATGCTTCCATCCTTAGCTTAGGGATTCTTCTACCATTCCAATCATCTTCTTCCATCATTTGAACCGTGGCAAGCTCAAGGAAAAGGTCTTCACATTCGGAGAAGGACAAAAGGAGCAAGACTACTTCACTTGCTTCAACCTTACTCCATCTTTGCTAGACTACCTTGTATTTGGAGCAACTTTGCTAATATTGGAAATTGATACCACAAGCATGTAAAAATAATAGCATAAGTTGCATGAGACATTAATTTGGTTGGTTATGAGATTCATGTATTGAATGTAAAATTGAGTATTAATTATGAATGTTTGAATGGTGTTGTGTATAATTTTATATGTTATCCATATTGCTTATATGTGTTATACATGTGTGAGATATATGTCTTAAAATAGTGTATTTGAGTCTAATTTAA